GTCCCCCGTCCCCGCGGGTGCCCGGACGCGGCCGGCCTCGGCGTCTCAGGGTGGCGGCGCCCAGCCCCCTGCGCTTCCCCTTCGCGTCTGTGCCCGCGCCCCGCGGGTCGCACGTCCTTGGTCGGCCTTGTAATAATCCGCGAGCCGGACGAGGCCAGAACCCCCCTTCCAGCGGTGCCGGGGGCTGCCGAGCCGCGCTGACCCTCCGCTGTGCACGCCCCGCTTTTGCCGTCCGCTCTGCGCGTGGGGGTGGCCGCGGGGAACACCGCCGGCCGCTGCGCTTCTCGGGACTGGTGACCTGGACCGATCCGGAAAGGCTTGGCGGGCAGGGGCAGCCCCTGGACGGCTGCCTGAGCCCGGTTTCCCGGCCGGGAGCGGAGCACGGCCGGCGCAGCATGTGGGGGCGCGGGGGCCTACGGAGCCGGTGACGCCCTCGGTCCCACACTTACGGCTGAACTGAGCGGCTGCAGGCTGGCGTGGCGCTGGGGACGAGGGTTCCGCTGGGACTGTCGCGTCCCCTCCAGTCTGCGCTGCATGTGCACGGCTTCGGAGGAGGCCGGTGGCTTTGTCGTCGCTGAAAAGCACCAGTGCGCCTTGCGCGGTGCCGCCTGGCTCCCCTCGCACCGATGGTACCGGAAAGTTCCACAGGCCCACATCACCTTCGGCTCTGTGCACTCAAAACCCTTGGGATTTTCCGCCCAACTTCAGGAGATGTGGGTGGGGTGTGTACATGTATGTGTATACATGTAGGAGTCTGTTGTACACATGTGTATGTATGTACACTTTATATACACGTAGATGATGTGTGTGTATATACTGAAACTCTTTGTGGTTCTGGGGATGGATGCCAGGGCCTGTGAATACAAGGCAAACGCTCTACCCATGAGACATATCCTCAGCCCTTGCATAGTTAAACTTTGACATATAATTGATGTAGATAGTTAAAAAAAAAAAAACACACAGCAAAACTGTGCAAAAGGGCATACAGTTAAAAAAACCAAACAAGCTGGATGTGATGGTGCATACTTGTAACCCCAGCTACTGGGGAGGCTGAGGCAGGAGGGTTGTGAGTTTGAGGTCAGCCTG